ACACCCCCAGATAAGACACTGCCGAGAAGAGATACATAGTCCTCCCCACCAACTCCATTGCCAAACATATTTCCAACATCTTTTCCAATACATCATTCCAAGTATCTACCTCCACAACCACGACCATCAAGGACATCACCAGTAGTAGACAGGACAAGCTTCCATCCTCTGCAGGGGTATACATAATCCCTTGTAATGACTGCAACAAATTATACGTGGGCGAAACATCAAGAGACCTCCAAACACGTATTTCAGAACACCAATACGCAAGCAGGACTGACGATACAAGGAATGCCTGTGTACAACATCGCAATTCACACAACCATTTAATTAACTACAGAAACTCAAGACTTATCGCCACAGAAGACAACACTCAATACCGAAGAATCCTGGAATCATCGCTTATCTCTATAACCAACAATTTCAACCAGAACAATGGCTTCTATAACATAGCTAAACCACTTGCAAAGAAACTTCTTCATCGCTATCCCACATAAGAACATAGAACACTGCAGAAGGTCTACTCACAACTTGTCCAATACCCCTGCCAAGCTACCCAAGACTCTATAAGCCCACCCGGTAGATCATCAGATGCAGCATTCTTCACCTGACCTCAACATTCTGAACCTGACTATAAATACTCCCGTACCTTCCACCCCAGGTAGATCTGTGTATGACTTGAAAAAGCCCACTGTGTGGGCGAAACGTTGTCAATAAAGGATCACATTAAACTGCATATGTGTTTGTTTCCAGTGTGTCGGTATTTTATACCATTTATTTTCAATAAGCTCAGGTGCAAGTCCGACTCAAATCCAACCCCTCTCACTCATGTACTTATTTATCCAGCCATAGCTTTTAGAACATAAGAAAGGAGGAACAGTGCAATAGGTCTGTTGGCCCATACTAGGCCGGTCCTTCACAAATCCAACCCACTAACAGCATAACTGCTATACCCAAGCAATAAGCTTTGATAAATTGCTGAATCACTAAAGAAGACACCCTCTACCACCATCACTACCACCTTCTAACACTATTTCAATGCTACCACCTTAAGAACATAAGAACGGAGCATCACTGCAGCAGGCCGGTTGGCCCATACTAGGCAGGTCCTTAACAATCCATCCCACTAACAAAACATTTGCCCAACCCAATTTTCAATGCTACCCAAGAAATAAGCTTTGATAACTATCCACTCATTTGCAAGTCCCACTCAAATCCAACTCCTCTCTCTCATATATTTATCCAACCTAAATTTGAAACTACCCAAAGTCCTAGCCTCAATAACATGAGAACCAGTATTACAACTACTATTACAACTATTATCACTATTACAACTGCTACAACCATCTCTACCACCATCAACCACTATCACAACTGCTTCCACTCTACCACCATCACCTTCATATTTTTCTACAAACTTTTTCTTAAATTATATGTGTTTCTCACATTCTTTACCAAAGGGCTGGCACTAGAAGCTTTCCTTGAAGCCATGGTGACTTATTTAGCAGTTGCAAACACTAAAACGAATGGAATATTATGAAATATATCGTATGAACTCGTGGATCATCCTCACTCACTGATAAACAATGGCACACTGGCTGGGAAAGGAGTGTGAGGCAGCTCGGGGCTATGTGTACCTGTCCCAGACGAACTACTATTTGCGAGTCAATCTACGATTAGCGAGCCCATGTTTATATGAAAATATCCCTATGATTTCCGAAATTTACGATTCTCGAGAACTACGATAATCGAGGGACCACTGTACGTATATATACAGTGGACCCCCGCATAACGATCACCTCCGAATGCTACCAATTATGTAAGTGTATTTATGTAAGTGCGTTTGTATGTGTATGTTTGGGGGTCTGAAATGGACTAATCTACTTCACAATATTCCTTATGGGAACAAATTCGGTCAGTACTGGCACCTGAACATACTTCTGGAGTGAAAAAATATCGTTAACCCGGTGTCCACTGTAATTTTTTTTTTTTTTTTCAATTTCATTGAGATTTTGACAGTGGATTAAGTAGCATAAAAATACATATAGGCTGTGTTTGTTTTGACTGTTAGCCTTCAAGTTAGGTAGAAAAAATAAATTATGCACAATTTCATGGGTCCTGTAACTTTCCTTGTTCTACTAAATTCTGAAGATGTACAATGCTCTAGTTAACATCAGATGAAAGGTAAAGGCTTGATTATTAACGACCCAGGGCAGTTTAGTGATGATGTTACTAGATTCCATAAAAAAAAGAAGTTCAAGTTAGTGTTTTTTTTTTTTTTTTTTTTTTTTTTTAAGGAAAAAATCATTAACAAAACACAAATAACCCGCACATAGAAGAGAGGAGCTTACGACAACGTTTCGGTCTGACTTGGATCATATACAAAGTCACAGTGTGACTTTGTAAATGGTCCACATTGAACCGAAACGTCGTCGTAAGCTCCTCTCTTCTATGTGTGGGTTATTTGTGTATTGTTCCAGTCACAGTATTGTGCCTTTTTTTGTTGGCATTAACAAAAAGCTGTTCACAATATGGCCAATTCTCCCTGAATGTTTGTAGAACCATCATTCCTCAATAACGTCTGCAAAAATCATGACAATCCAATGAATAGTTATCGCAGGAGAGGGATTACAATGTCAATAACTTATTACTGAGTTTTTTTTTTTTTGTGTGTGAAACTCTAGGGAAGTGGCGTGCCAACTCTCAGCGTGCTACACCCCACCAACCTTCTTTACAGCCTCCAGGCTACTGAGGGACTCACTCACTGCACTCCACACTCTAGCTATCACAGAAGTTACCACGTAGAGTATTTAGAATGAAATGATCATAAAAATCGTAATTTTTGGAGGAAAAAACTGCTAATTGCCAACGTGTATTTCTGCTGACAGCAAGAACAAAAAAATACATTTAATAAAAAAATACTTAGAAATATGATAGAAGCAAGCTGATTACATCAAAATGTTGCCAGAATTTTGCACTATTTTGCAGTAAGAAAACATTTTTTTCCCATAATTTTTCAATTTTAATGTCCTTATTACTGAAAAAAGGCTCGCCCCTCCCGTAATGTACTTAGAATGTTTTAAGAGATTTAGCCGGACACAGGGAATGTCATAGAGATTTTTGTGCCTAATATTATGTCTATAGGTCCTATTAAGAAATGTTTTAGTTTGGGATTAATATTTGAATTTATTGTTCTGTAAATGTAGGTTGCACAGTAGTAGGTGTGAATGTTTTGTATAGTGAGTAGGTTTAGGCCTTTGAAGAATGCGGGGGGGTGTTGTCTAGCATTGGATTGTGTGATAATTCGTACTGCAGCTTTTTGTTGAGTTAATATTGGCTTTAGGTGGGTTGTTGTTGTTGGTCCCCAGGCACAAATAGCATAGGTGAGGTAGGAACAGATCAGTGAATAGTTTAGTGTAAGTAGGGCTGCTTGTGGTACGTAGTAACTTATTTTTGAGAGGATGCCAACTGTTTTGGATACTTCTTTTGTTATGTGTTGGATATGGGTGTTGAATTTCAAGTTGCTGTCAAGGTGCAGACCCAGAAACTTTCCCTCATTATGTTAAGTAATAATCATAATGTTCTGCTCCCAAACATAATATAGGAAGTTTTGTCGGTATTAAGTATAAGTTTATTGGCAGTCATCCAGGTTGATATTTTTACTAGCTCTTCATTAATAATAGTATTGAGTGAGGCAAGATTAGGGTGGGAGATAACAAAAGTTGTGTTGTCAGCAATGAGAATAGGTCCAAGTTGTTGTGATATGTTTGGGAGGTCATTGATGTATAAGAGGAAGAGTTGGGGGCCAAGGACACTTCCCTGAGGTACCCCAGTGTCCAGAGGTCTTGTTGATGAGGTTGTGTCTAATCCTTTATTAAATTACTCTGATCCATGCTTCCAGCTTGGCTGTTTTAGCCAATTTGGAACTGTAAATTGTTGTCATAAAACTGCTAAATAATTCTTTACTAAGCATTACAATTTCTGTAGTTGGTGTTACCCAATTCCTGCAGGCTATTGTAAATCTTTATATATGTGTAAACCCTCTAGGAATAGATTACTGGCTCTGGTTTGACAGCTGTGACCATAGTGTGATAACACAAAATGTGTGAATAAAAAAATAACCAGAAAGTGGGCAGATAGATATTTAACTTACTAGAAGAGAGAGAGAGAGAATAGTAGTAGTAGTAGTAAATGTGCAATCAGTCCATCACCCTCAAAGGCTTAGTTTCAAAGTGATCAGTCCTTCAGGCTGGAGAAGAGTTGTGCTCTATAGTCTGGAACAATATGAAGCTGAAGCATCAGAATGGATTTGAGAGGGACTTACCCAGTAGGCTTGCTACACTGCTTCTCGATTATTACATTCTTACTTCCCCTAGTGGGTCTCGCCTCTTCTGTTGTCTTCAAGATTTTTTTGCGTCTCACCTTTGGCAGTGTATAAGTCTACATTATGATGCTTCAGCTTCACATTGTTCCAGACTATGGAGCACAACCCTTTTCCAGGCTGAGGGACTGATCACCTCAGAATTTCGTCTTTAAGGGTGATGGACTGATTATACGATATTGACCTCTTCACTGCTTCTACTGCTTCCTCTGTATTTGACTAAAGAAGCCCACTTTGTAGACAAAACATTGCAGAATAAAGATGCCTTTTACAATTGTTTGCATGTTGATGATAAGGACTCTGGCCTATAGTAACCATGTGTACTTGTGAAACAAACCTTGAAAAATTTAATAGCAGCACCTGGACCATTATCATCTAACATGTGCAGTCTGAATACAGATGCAATATACAGTACATTGCTTGTGTTATACTACAGACAGTGTGCTGTAATAGGAAACAGAAATTGAAAAATAGCAGCTTAAGAGAATAGAACTACTCATAGTTTAAAATTACAAGGCAAACTGTCAAATAGGACTGCAGAGTAAATATAACATAATAAAAGGTCTAATAAAGGTTTGTTATGCAAGGAAAATGCTAATTCTAACCATTCTGCCTATAGGAGCATCATACAATCCTTCCTTCACTGACCATCAAGAGCTGTTGCAAAAAGCCATCTCTCAGGAAGAAAGTCGGATGAGGAAAACTGAGCGTGTAGAATGTTTAACTACTCAAATGTTCCCTACTATTGATGAAGCTCCTACAGAGGAAACGTGGCTTCAGGAAATGTCACAAGGCCTTCCAAAGGCTGGAGATGAAGATAATGAAATTAAGGAAGAGGAAGAGGAGGAGGAAGAGGAAGAGAAGGTAAGACTTGCAGGGTTGTCTTTCAGTATTGCAATAATACAGTAGTAATACTAATAAATTATAAAAAAAAAATAGGAAAAATGTTTCTTGCCTTATTTATTTACTATGTCCCTTAGGGGTGTTGTAATTCATTTGAAAGGATGAAGGTAATGCACAGGAGGGCCTTAAAGATTTGGCATCCTCTTCGGTGTTCTACATTTTTATTAGTTTTCAGTTAAGCCATTGTTCATTATGTATGGTGCTTCCACTGCTTTTCTGCCATTTTTACACATTTGTGTAATGGAAGGTGACCTGTGCCATATTTTAAGGTAAATATTGTGTGTATTGTGCATTTGTTTTATTTTTTTATCCTTGTTTATGCCTAGCTATATTGAGCACTTAATATAGTGTAAACATGTTATTAGACATTTTACACACATTTTGAAAAAGTGGAAAAAATGCTCTTTTCCACCCACCACCAATTTTCGCTGATCACACAAGGTCAGGAATCTAAGAGCCGTACAAACAGGGCCCTCCTGCATTTAGCAGAAAATGTTGGTTGAAGGCATTGAGGTAAAATACATGAAATCTTGTAAGGTGAAAAGTGATTCAATAAAGGTACAGTATTGTATTTAAATTTGATTTAAGGACCTTTTTTTTTTATTATTTATTTTTTTTTTAACACATCGGCCATTTCCCACCAAGGCAGGGTGGCCCGAAAAAGAAGAAACACTTAGATCATCATTCACTCCATCGCTGTCTTGCCAGAGACATGCCTACACTACAGTTAAAATACTGCAACATCACCCTTCCTTCAGAGTGCAGGCACTGTACTTCTCACCTCCAGGACTCAAGTCTGGTTTGCCAGTTTTCCTGAATCATTCCACAAATGTTACTTTGCTCACTCCAACAGCACAACAAGTCACAAAAAACATTTGTCTCCACTCGTTCCTATCTAACATGCTCACGCACACTTGCTGGAAGTCCAAGCCCCTCATACACTAATCTCCTTTACCCCCTCCCTCCAACTTTTCCTAGGCCGACCCCTTCCCTGCCTTACTTCTGCTACAGATTTACACACACTCCAAGTCATCCTCTGTATAACCCTTGTGGTTTAGTGCTTCTTTCTGATTATAATAATCCAAGTCATTTTGTTTCATTCCATCCTCTCTAAATGTCCAAACCACCTCAACAACCCCTTTTCAGCCCTCTGGGTAATACTTTTAGTAACCTCACACCTCCTAATTTTCAAACTATGGATTCCCTGCATTATATTCACACCGCACATTGCCCTCAGACACGACATCTCCACTGCCTCCAGCCTTCTCCTTATTGCAACATTCACCACCCATTCTTCACACCTATATAAAAGCGTTGGTATAACTACAGTGGACCCCCGCTTAATGATCACCTCCCAATGCGACCAATTATGTAAGTGCGTTTGTACGTGTATGTTTGGGGGTCTGAAATGGACTAATCTACTTCACAATATTCCTTATGGGAACAAATTCGGTCAGTACTGGCACCTGAACATACTTCTGGAATGAAAAAATATCATTAACCGGGGTTCCACTGTACTCTTATACATTCCCCTTTTTGCTTCCATGGATAATGTTCTTTGTCTCCACAGACTCCAAAGTGCACCACTCAGATTTTTCCCAAATATCCGTACTCCCTCTTCCAATTTGATATCCAATCTTTCATTCCCCCCCCCCCTTTTTTTTTTTTTTTTACACACAGGGTTTGACAAGGTTAGGTTAAGGATCCCTAACTTACTGACAAGTTAAGGATTCCTAACTTCATTGATTACAAGCTAAGAGCTGTTACCTATATCAGCTCATTTGAAAGCATTTTTATTGTTATGGAATATACAAGTAAGGAACAGGATGAAGTTGGAGCCATCTGTGGGCCAGCATTTTCATTTGATCAGCTGACTTTATCTCGTTGATATCATTATACTGTACGAACATGTTTCAGACCCGAGTCATCCTGGGGATAAATGATTTCAGATGAAGAGATGTTCTGGAGAATGGTACAGCCAGAGTGAAGTTGCTGCTTTCTGCCCGTCTTGTGGTATAGAAGCTTGCGTCATGCTGCCCTTGAAGTGGATCCAAGTGTTGTACTTTGACAATATTGGCCTTGTACATAACAGTAAGGCCACCCACATCCTTTTGTGTTGAAGGCTCTGCTGAAATGACAGATCTATCCAAGATTGGTCCAAGCGAGAGATGAGACGTCTTGCTCTGTTCTCTACTCTGTCAAGCAGTCGCAGATGAGAGGGGGGAGGGGCAGGCAAACCAAGAAAATGGAGCATACTTAAGGTGTGAGCATACTTGTGCCTCATACAGAATCTTGCAACCCCTACTGTCAAGCACATTCAAGATACGGCGAAGTGTTGTAAGCTTCCTGGCTTCCTTGTTTGCAAGATTTACAGCGTGATTCTTCATGGTCAATTTGGAGTCAAATTTCACACCAAGGATATCAACTTCCCCAGGTGCCAATGCCCTCCCAGTCATCCTTACTTCTGCATGGTGCCTAGAGACCATCATTTGTGTTTTCTCAGGTGCAAATGTTACTTGCCATCTATTTCCCCAAGCTGATATAGCTCTTAGCTGGTGATTGATGGAACTTAGAGCAGCTGGCATTTCTTCTCTTGGATAAGTGAATGTCAGTGTATAGTCGTCTGCATATGCACATGATCTGGGATGAGATGAAGAAAATCATTGAAGTAGCCATTGCATAACAATGGTCCCAGCACGCTTCCTTGTGGAACACTTGCCCCAATAGGATGTCTTGCTGATTCCATTCCATTGAGAACTACCCTTAGAGATCTACCATGAAGGTATTCACTGGGGAGACATAGCATAGAGCCTGCAGTTTCGCTAAGAGGCCCTGGTGCCACACCCGGTTGAAAGTACCAGCAGTGTCCAGTGCTACCACACAGCTGACTTTGGATTCATCCAGTGACTGGTGCCACTTAGCAGAGAGGTTTAACAAGAGATCAGCAGCACAGTAACCTTTCCTGAAGCCATATTGACAGTCACAAAGTAGTGAGTGGTAGTCAAAAAACTCTGTTATTAGTCTTGAGATTATTGTCTCAAGGATCTTGCCAGTGATTGACAACAGTGACACTGGTCTGTAGTTGCTAGTGTCTGCTCTGCTCTTCTTTTTGTGAACAGGGACTACATTTGCCTCTCCACGGAGAGGGCCATTTACACTTTACTAGGCACTGCTGGAAGATCCGAGTTAGAGGTACTGCTTGCTGGTCTGCACATCTCGACAATCTTGGGCTTAACTTGTCTGGCCCCACAGCCTTATTGTCACCTGGAGAGAGTTCCGGGGGTCAACGCCCCCGTGGCCCGGTCTGTGACCAGGCCTCCTGGTGGATCAGAGCCTGATCAAAACCACTGACAGTTTTGACACAGTTCTTGCAGTTAGCCAAGGAGGGTCCCTAGCTAGATCAGGAACTTGCATTTTGGTAGCAAAGTCAGTGTCTGTCTCTCTGTCTCTCTGTGTCTCTGTCTCTGTCTGTCTGTCTCTGTCTCTCTCTCTCTCTCTCTCTCTCTCTCTCTCTCTCTCTCTCTCTCTCTCTGTCTCTCTTCTCTGTCTCTCTGTCTGTCTCTCTGTCTGTCTCTCTCTGTCTCTCTCTCTCTGTCTCTCTCTGTCTGTCTCTCTGTCTCTCTGTCTCTCTCTGTCTCTCTCTCTCTGTCTCTCTCTCTCTGTCTCTCTCTGTCTCTCTCTCTCTGTCTCTCTCTGTCTCTCTCTCTCCTCTCTCTCTTCTCTCTCTCTCTCTCTCTCTCTCTCTCTCTCTCTCTCTCTCTCTCTCTCTCTCTCTGTCTCTCTCTCTCTCTCTCTCTCTCTCTCTCTCTCTCTCTCTTTCTCTCTCTCTTTCTCTCTCTCTTTCTCTCTCTTTCTCTCTCTCTTTGTCTCTCTCTCTCACTCTTTTTTTTTTTTTTTTACACAGGGTTTGACAAGGTTAAGTATCCCTAGCTTTATTGACAAGCTATTTACAGGTTAAGGATTCCTAACTTTATTGGCAAGCTAAGAGCTGTTACCTACATCAGCTCATTTGAAAGCATTTTTATTGTTATGAGACATACAAGTAGGGAACAGGATGAAGTTGGAGCCATCTGTGGGTCAGCATTTTCATTTGATCAGCTGACTTTATCTCGTTGACATCATTATGCTGTACGAATGTGTTCCATACTCAAGTCATCCTGGGTATATAGGATCTCAGATGGAGTGAAGTTCTGGAGAAGGGTACGGCCAGAGTGAAGTTGCTGCTTTCTGCCCGTCTTGTGGCATAAAAGCTTGTTTCACACTGTCCTCGAAGTGGATCCAAGTGTGGTACTTTGACAATATTGGCCTTGTACATAACAGTAAGGCCACCCACATCCCTCCTATGTTGAAGGCTCTGCTGAAATGACAGATCTATCCAGGATGGGTCCAGGCGAGAGATGAGACGTCTTGCTCTGTTCTCTACTCTGTCAAGCAGTCGCAGATGAGAGGGGGGGCAGGCAAACCAAGAAAGTGGAGCATACTCAAGGTGTGAGCGTACTTGTGCCTCGTACAGGATCTTGCAACCCCTACTGTCAAGCAGATGCGAGATACAGCGAAGTGCTGTAAGCTTCCTGGCTGCCTTGTTTGCAAGATTTACAATATGGTTCTTCATGGTTAGTTTGGAGTCAAATTTCACCCCAAGGATATCAACTTCTTCTCCAGGTGCCAACACCCTCCCATTCATCCTTACTACTGCACCAGCATTACCATCATGGTGCCTAGAGACGATCATCATTTGCGTTTTCTCAGGTGCAAATGTTACTTGCCATCTATTTCCCCAAGCTGATATAGTTCTCAGCTGGTGATTAATGTAGCTTAGAGCAGCTGGCATTTCTTCTCTTGGATAAGTGAATGTCATTGTGCAGTCGTCTGCATATGCATGTAATTCTGGGATGAGATGAAGAAGGTCGTTGAAGTAGACATTCCATAACAATGAACCCAGCACGCTTCCTTGTGGAACACTTGCCCCAATAGGATGTCTTGCTGATTCCGTTCCATTGAGAACTACACTTAGAGATCTACCATGAAGGTAATCACTGAGGAGACATAGCGTAGAGCCTGCAATTCCCAGTGCTTGAAGTTTTGCTAAGAGGCCCTGGTGCCACACCCGGTCGAAAGCACCAGCAATGTCCAGTGCTACCACACAGCTGACTTTGGATTCATCCAGTGACTGGTGCCACTTAGTGGAGAGGTTTAACAACAGATCAGCAGCAGAGTAACCTTTCCTGAAGCCATATTGATGATCACAAAGTAGTGAGTGGTAGTCAAAAAACTCTGTCATTTGTCTTGAGATTATTGTCTCAAGGATCTTACCAGTGATTGACAGGAGTGACACTGGTCTGTAGTTGCTGATTTCTGCTCTGCTCTTCTTTTTGTGAACAGGGACTACATTTGCCTCTTTCCATAGAGAGGGCCATTTACACTCTACTAGGCAGTGCTGAAAGATGCAAGGTAGAGGTGCTGCTAGCTGGTCTGCACATCTTCTCAACAATCTTGGGCTCAACTTGTCTGGGCCCACAGCCTTTTGTTGGTCAAGCGATTTAAGAAGGAAATGCACCTTCTCCTGCCTTATTATATGTCACCACTGACAGTTTTGACACAGTTCTTGCAGCTAGCCAAGGAGGGTCCCTTGCTGGTTCAGGAACTTGCATTTTGGTAGCAAAGTGTTCAGCAAAGAGGTCCGCCTTCTCTTGACTACTAGTAGAGGTGGTCCCATCCTGTCGATTTAGAGGTGGAATAAGTTCATCAGGCAGATAACCTTGTCTGTCCTTGACCAGGGACCACCAGGTTTTGGAGCCTACCCTACCTGATGCTAGCTTTCTTTTAGTGTCCACCTCCCATTTAGCAATGGCCCACTTTTGAACATCTCCCATATGCCTACAGGCTTGCATGTGCAAGTTCCTGTTATAGGTGGTAGGATGTCTCTTAAACCTTCACCATGCTTTGTACTTAGCAGTAGCAGCCTCTCTACAACGAAAGCCAAACCAAGGCTGATCTGTAGGCTTCGTCACATATTGCCGGTGAGGAATGTGTTCTTGTTGTAGATTAAGGATGTGTCCAGTGAAGGCTTTCACTTGGTTGTCAACATCTCTCTCTCTTTCTCTTTCTCTTTCTCTTTCTCTCTTTCTCTTTCTCTCTTTCTTTCTCTTTCTCTCTCTTTCTCATTCTCTCTCTTTCTCATTCTCTTTCTCTCTTTTTTTTTTTTTTTTACACAGGGTTTGACGGGGTTAAGGATCCCTAGCTTTATTGACAGCTATTTACAGGTTAAGGATTCCTAACTTTATTGGCAAGCTAAGAGCTGTTACCTACATCAGCTCATTTGAAAGCATTTTTATTGTTATGAGACATACAAGTAGGGAACAGGATGAAGTTGGAGCCATCTGTGGGCCAGCATTTTCATTTGATCAACTGACTTTATCTCGTTGACATCATTATGCTGTACGAATGTGTTCCATACTCGAGTCATCCTGGGTATGTATGATCTCAGATGGAGTGATGTTCTGGAAAAGGGCACAGCCAGAGTGAAGTTGCTGCTTTCTGCCCGTCTTGTGGCATAAAAGCTTGTTTCACGCTGTCCTCGAAGTGGATCCAAGTGTGGTATTTTGACAATATTGGCCTTGTACATAACAGTAAGGCCACCCACATCCCCCTATGTTGAAGGCTCTGCTGAAATGACAGATCTATCCAGGATGGGTCCAGGCGAGAGATGAGACGTCTTGCTCTGTTCTCTACTCTGTCAAGCAGTCGCAGATGAGAGGGGGGCAGGCAAACCAAGAAAGTGGAGCATACTCAAGGTGTGAGCGTACTTGTGCCTCGTACAGGATCTAGCAACCCCTACTGTCAAGCAGATGCGAGATACGGCGAAGTGCTGTAAGCTTCCTGGCTGCCTTGTTTGCAAGATTTACAACATGGTTCTTCATGGTTAGTTTGGAGTCAAATTTCACCCCAAGGATATCAACTTCTTCTCTAGGTGCCAACATCCTCCCATTCATCCTTACTACTGCACCAGCATTACCATCATGGTGCCTAGAGACGATCATCATTTGCGTTTTCTCAGGTGCAAATGTTACTTGCCATCTATTTCCCCAAGCTGATATAGCTCTCAGCTGGTGATTGATGTAGCTTAGAGCAGCTGGCATTTCTTCTCTTGGATAAGTGAATGTCAGTGTACAGTCGTCTGCATATGCATGTGATTCTGGGATGAGATGAAGAAGGTCGTTGAAGTAGACATTCCATAACAATGGACCCAGCACGCTTCCTTGTGGAACACTTGCCCCAATAGGATGCCTTGCTGATTCTGTTCCATTGAGGACTACACTTAGAGATCTACCATGAAGGTAATCACTGAGGAGACATAGCGTAGAGCCTGCAATTCCCAGTGCTTGAAGTTTTGCTAAGAGGCCCTGGTGCCACACCCGGTCGAAAGTGCCAGCAATGTCCAGTGCTACCACACAGCTGACTTTGGATTCATCCAGTGACTGGTGCCACTTAGTGGAGAGGTTTAACAACAGATCAGCAGCAGAGTAACCTTTCCTGAAGCCATATTGACGATCACAAAATAGTGAGTGGTAGTCAAAAAACTCTGTCATTTGTCTTGAGATTATTGTCTCAAGGATCTTACCAGTGATTGACAGGAGTGACACTGGTCTGTAGTTGCTGATTTCTGCTCTGCTCTTCTTTTTGTGAACAGGGACTACATTTGCCTCTTTCCATAGAGAGGGCCATTTACACACTAGGCAGTGCTGAAAGATGCAAGTTAGAGGTGCTGCTAGCTGGTCTGCACATCTTCTCAACAATCTTGGGCTCAACTTGTCTGGGCCCATAGCCTTTTGTTGGTCAATCGATTTAAGAAGGAAATGCACCTCCTCCTGCCTTATTGTCACCACTGACAGTTTTGACACAGTTCTTGCAGCTAGCCAAGGAGGGTCCCTTGCTGGATCAGGAACTTGCATTTTGGTAGCAAAGTGTTCAGCAAAGAGGTCCACCTTCTCTTGACTACTAGTAGAGGTGGTCCCATCCTGTCGATTTAGAGGTGGAATAAGTTCATCAGGCAGATAACCTTGTCTGTCCTTGACCAGGGACCCCCAGGTTTTGGAGCCTACCCTACCTGATGCTATCTTTTAGTGTCCACCTCTCTCTCTCTCTCTCTCTCTCTCTCTCTCTCTCTCTCTCTCTCTCTCTCTCTCTTTCTCTTTCTCTTTCTTTCTTTCTCTTCTTCTCTCTCTCATCTTTCTCTCTCTTCTTCTCTCTCTTTCTCTTTCTTTTTCTCTTTCTCTTTCTTTCTCTTTTTCTCTTCTTTCCTTCTCTTTCTCTTTCTCTTTCTCTTCTCTTTCTCTCTCTTTCTCTCTCTTCTCTTTTCTCTCTCTCTCTTTCCTCTCTCCTCCTTTCTCTCTCTCTTTCTCTCTCTTCTTTCTCTCTCTTTCCTTTCTCTCCTCTTTCTCTCTCTTTTCTCTCTCTCTTTCTCTCTCTTCTCTCTTCTTTCTCTCTCTCTTTCTCTCTCTCTTTCTCTCTCTCTTCTCTCTTTCTCTCTCTCTCTCTTTCTCTCTTTCTCTCTCTTTCTTCTTTCTCTCTTCTTTCTCTCTCTCTCTTTCTCTTCTTCTCTCTCTCTCCTCTCTCTCTCTCTCTCTCTCTCTCTCTCTCTCTCTCTCTCTTCTCTCTCTCTCTTCTCTTTCTCTCTCTCTCTTCTCTCTTCTCTCTTCTCTCTTCTCTCTCTCTTTCTCTCTCTCTCTCTCTCTTTTCTTTCTCTCTCTCTTTCTCTCTCTCTCTCTCTTCTCACTCTCTTCTCTCTCTCTCTCCTTCTTTCTCTCTCTCTTTCTCTCTCTCTTTCTCTCTTTCTTTCTCTCTCTCTCTCTCTCTCTTTCTTTCTCTCTTTCTCTTCTCTCTTTCTTCTCTCTCTCTTCTCTCTTTCTCTTCTCCTCTCTCTTCTCTCTCTCTCTCTCTCAGGTGCTAATACACTTATTATACACACTTTTCATTTCGACCCTTATTTTACTCCCATAGTCTTGAATTTATACACTTATATTCTGTTTTCTGCCATACTCATCCTTCAGCATTTCTATCCTCTTTTCTCTCTCTACTCTTACTTCTTCTTCTCCCACTACTCTCTACCTCTTCACCTTTCTCTCTTTCTCATCCTCTCTCTCTCTCTCCTCTCTTTTCCTCTCTTCAGTGCAAACACTTATTATAACACACTTTTCACATTCGACCCTTATTTTACTCCCCATAGTCCTTGAATTTATACACTTATATTCTGTTTTCCTGCCATAACTCATCCTTCAGCATTATTGCTACTCCTCTTTTAGCTCTAACTCTACTGAAACCCCTGACGTAATCCCATTTATATCTCCCCACTGAAGCTCTCGTACCCCTTTCACCTTTGTTTCTTTTAGAGGCAGGACATCCAGCTTCTTTTCGTTCATAACATCCACAATCATCTGTTCATCTCCACTACATCCATGCACATTCAATTACTCCAGCTTAAAGATTTTCTTCTTTTATTTTTAGTAAGCTATACAGAAGTGGGTTACTAATACAGTGCTCCTGACATTGTAGTTGACTTTTACAACATGCATGGCTTACAGAGGAAAGATTTTTATTCCATTTTCTCATGACAATAAAAGGAAATAAGAACAAGAACTATAAAGAAAAAATCCAAGAAAACTCAGATGATCGTGTATTCCTAAGAGTTTACATTCATGTGTAGTTTATTCAGGTGACACCTTACCTCTGCAGATTATTCACTACAATAGTTAGTTCCTCCTTGATGCTTCTGAAGGGATCTTGATCCAGGTAATTGCACCAGATCTCCACATGGATCAAATGTGATTGACTCCCATTACCTGGGTGCTATATGACCTATACAGGTTTAGTGTTTTCTCATAAATATAATAATGCAGTAATAAGAAAGCAAAGCCATCCTATTTAAAAATAATAATATATATTTTTATTTCTGCAGGTTGATAATGAACAGTTAACTGTGACACACAAACCAAGGAATGAAAGAAAAACAAAGAAACAAAGAAGGAAAGAGCTGAAGGAAAAAATAGCAAAATTGAAAAGGCTGGGAAAAAAGGAAGAACGTGTTCGAGAGAGCTGTGTTTTCAGGTAAATAAAATTAATGAGAGACAACCTATGAAGTATATTTCATATACAATATGTATATAATCGTGCTGGACAATGCTGTATAATTAATGCAATGGCACTTTATAATAAGAAATATAACTTAAGAATACACTATTATTTGTAGTCTGGGACTATCATTACAATCATTTTAATACAGTATGTGCATTTTGTTTTTTAACACAATGGCTATCTCCTACCAAAGTAGGGTAACCTGAAAAAGAAACACTTTCATCATCATTCACACTATCACTGTCTTGCCAGAGGCATGCAGATAAGACAGTTCAGATGTCCCTCCAAACAGCAAATATCCTTACCCCTCCTTTAAAGTGCAGACATTGCACATCCCACCTCCAGGATAACCAGTTTCCTTGAATCCCTTCACAAAATGTAACCTTGCTCACACTCCAACAGTTCATCAGGTCCTAAAAAACATTTGCCTCCACTCACTTCTAACATGCTCACACACATGCCTGCTGGATGTATGTATGCAATCATGCACAAGTATATAGATATAAACCATTTCCTACTTGAATTAAAGTCTAACCCCATCCATAATATTTATTGTTAAATTTGAACAAAATAACTCATTGCCTTTTTAGATGTTTTAATTATTAAGGGGAAATAAGAACTTAATGAAATTTAATATACAGTAAAATTCCGGTTTTCGTCTAGTCTGAATATCGTACAATTCAGATTTCAACCACTTTTTTTGGCAAATTTTTACTCCGGGTTTCGTACATCGACTCAGAAATTGTCTTTATCAGATGTGTCCACCTGCCCAGGACCCCGCAGCCTGACTCAGTCTCCATCTGTCACTTCTCGAGTGACCGAAACTCTGCTCGTTCATCCATTGTTTTTTGGTGCTTGTTTATTGAGTGCAACTGCAAAATAAGTCACTGTGGGGCCAAAGAAAGTTCAGAATGCCAGCCCTTTGGTAACGAAGGTGAGAAATGTGATAGAATTCAAGAAAGAACTTGTATCAAAATATGAAAGTGGCATACGTGTGGCTGAGCTCGCCAGGATATATTTTTTTTTTTTTTATTATCACACTGGCCGATTCCCACCAAGGCAGGGTGGCCCGAAAAAGAAAAACTTTCACCATCATTCACTCCATCACTGTCTTGCCAGAAGGGTGCTTTACACTACAGTTTTTAAACTGCAACATTGACACCCCTCCTTCAGAGTGCAGGCACTGTACTTCCCATCTCCAGGACTCAAGTCCGGCCTGCCAGTTTCCCTGAACCCCTTCATAAATGTTATTTTGCTCACACTCCAACAGCACGTCAAGTATTAAAAACCATTTGTCTCCATTCACTCCTATCAAACACGCTCACGCATGCCTGCTGGAAGTCCAAGCCCCTCGCATACAAAACCTCCTTTACCCCCTCCCTCCAACCTTTCCTAGGCCGACCCCTACCCTGCCTTCCTTCCACTACAGACTGATACACTCTTGAAGTCATTCTGTTTCGCTCCATTCTCTCTACATATCCGAACCACCTCAACAACCCTTCCTCAGCCCTCTGGACAACAGTTTTGGTAATCCCACACCTCCTCCTAACTTCCAAACTATGAATTCTCTGCATTATATTCACACCACACATTGCCCTCAGACATGACATCTCCACTGCCTTCAGCCTTCTCCTCGCTGCAACATTCATCACCCATGCTTCACACCCATATAAGAGCGTTGGTAAAACTATACTGGAAGTCCAAATCAACAATTCCATCCTGGCAAAGAAAGTAAAAATCGTGGAAGCTGATGTTGTGAAAGAGGTAAATATGCTAACAAAACAAATATCACAAACAATCGAAGATGTGTTGTTGTTGTTGGTGTGGATCAGTGAAAAACAGTTAACGGGAGATAGTGTTGTGGATGGGATAATTTGCGAAAAGGCAAGGCAGTTGCATTCAGATCTTGTAAAGAAAATGCCTGGAACGAGTGCTGCTGTTAGTGAATATTACTTCGGGTTATGTCCACTTCGGATTTCGACCGGCCTTCTGGAACGGATTAAGGACGAAAACCGGGGTGCCACTGTATACAGAAAATGAACAACTGCAGTTATGTATACTGTCCTCCTTCACATCATGAGAATTAAATGTTCTGTATTCTCCATATTTTTGAGAGCTCTGTGCATTTGCAGCCCAGAGGTGATAGATAAGGAAATATGGAAGATTTATGAAGTAGTATATGATCTAGAATATCCAAAAAAATTAATTGACAGTCTTTTTAGTGGTAGTGGTAAATTGTAAATATGATACACTGAGAAAAATTCTTCTAAAATTAGTGTGTGTGTGTGTGGTGTGTGTGTGTGTGTGTGTGTGTGTGTGTGTGTGTGTGTGTGTAGTGTTCTGTTGCATCTTATATGGCAGGAAATGGAATAATTTATTATTCATTTCATATAAACACATTTACATATGGTATCTGATAATTATTATTATTCTTTCAACAAACCAGCAGTATCCCACCAAGGCAGGGTGGCCCAAAAAAAAAATTGAAAGTTTCTCTTTTTGACTTTAGTAATGTATACAGGAGAAGGGGTTACTAGCCCCTTGCTCCTGGCATTTTAGTCACATCTTACAATACACATGGCTTACGGAGGAAGAATTTTGTTCCACTTACCCATGGAGATAAGAGTAAATAAACAAGAACAAGAACTAGTTAGAAAATAGAAGAAAACTCAGGGGTGTGTATATATATGCTTGTACATGCACGTGTAGTGTGACCTAAGTAAAAGTAGCAAGACGTACCTGAAATCTTGCATGTTTATGTGACAGAAAATTGACATCAGCAATCCTACCATCATGTAAAATACTTACAGGCTTCTGTTTTCCACTCACTCGGCAGGACGGTAGTACCTCCCTGGGTGGTTGCTGTCTACCAACATACTACCTAGGATTTTTAGTTTTTATCGGCATTTAAAGCAGTCCCAGTTGATGGTACATGCTATAACTTAGTGAAATTAAGATTAACTTCTTAACCCTTTCACTGTCCTTCACATAGATCTACATCATTGGCACCAGGGTCCCTCACATAGACCTACTTTTTAGGTCAGTTCCCTCAGATAAGCACGGAGTGTTGAATTTTGGCCTATATAAGAGAGAATGGGTCTGTGCAGTGTACACACACAGTATATAAAAAATCCTGCCCCACAAAGCTCTAACCTTGTGTTTGGTTTAAAATAGTAAATTTGAGGTGTTTTGTAGGATGGTTTTTATAGCTTAATTGGCTGTTTCTTGGTGTCATTTGATAGAATGGAAGATATGCTACTGAAACAAAGATGCTTTTAGCTGGTTTCAAGACCATGAAGTAGCTTGAAATTGGGCTCAAAATAGAGGAAATATTAGATTTTTGCCAATTTTCCTGAGGGTGGGTATCTCCCCCCCCTCTTCCCGTCTATTATACACGTTCTTACTAGATTTGATTCAATTGTATGAGATGCCTTAAACCATGACCAATCCCCTTCACTGTATGGAACCCCAAAATTAAAACTGCTCAGTCTACATTAAAAAAAATCTGAAATGATAGAGAATCTCTCCCTGAATGTAATGACAACAAAATTACAAAATTTTATACAAAACTTGTCAAATTACGCAGTCACAGAGTGAGTGGTAGGGAGCAGTTTATGCAATGGGAATTTTGCCCATTTTGAGTCTTATTTTAAGGCAATTTAGTTGCTCAATTTGATCAAATTTTTAGCTATTTCACTAGTATGCCTAATATTCTATCGAATGAGCACAAGAAACCCCTATCTACCTATCAGAACTACCCTGTACAGTCTACAGAATTCGGTAATTTGGCCAGTTTTACACAAAATTTAAAAAGTCTAAAATAAACACTGTAGACATTCCAGACACTAAAGCAACCTTTCTTCTGTTCATTAATCACATCCTCTTCCATTCTGAATTCATTACAAAAAAAATTAAAATATGCCTTATTTCTCAGATAATAAAATATAACTAGCAATGGTTATCCAGTTTTTCTAAGACATAAGTGTAATTATGGATTATCATGTGTTAGAATATTCAGGTTAAGTGGAGAATCACTAACTTTAACATTGCCTTTTATATTTTTACAAGTTTTCATTTAGTGTATTATATCTAAAATATGCTATAATGTAATTGCACCTTATTTCCAGGGTCAAGACATATCAGAAAGAGATTGATGAATTTTTAGAGCTATTAAAGACACGCAAACATTGCCGCATTGGCAGACATAAACAGCGTCAGTTCATGCCCCGTTGCCTCGGTAGACTAAGGTGAATAAAATACTGTAGTGTACTCCTTGTGAATTATTTCGTTTAAATGATTTAAAATATGACTATTTTGTTCTTTGCATACTTATTAAAGCTTTTAAATTTGATGTAACTATATGCACTTCTCACATAATTTTTGGGGGGTTATATTTTTAATAAACTTAAATTTAATGTTCTCTTGATTAAATATTATATTAGGGTTTTTGTGCAAACAGTTCATTTTATTGAAATATCATTATTCATAATGTCTTTTAATTGTAGGTTTCACGAGGAGGATGTAGTGGTGAATCTAGGTAATGAGCTGCCTGGAAGCCTGCGTGAGGTAGTTCCAGCTGTTAGTCTCTTAGAAGAACGTTTTAAGAATCTGCAGCGAAGAAATATGATTGAACCCAGACTTCCTCACAAGTAAGTATTGTATGTACAGAGTAGTTTTAAGAATAGTGTGAATATAGCAGTTTATTTTAAACTTTAATGAGTGGTGAGTTCTTGAGGTGAAAGTTCTCTTGATTTACATCTCTTTACTGATACACAAACCAGAGTACACTAAAAATACATGTATGTTGTAAACTAGAGTACACTAGTTTCCTCATAAATATGGTAAAAATAATTAATGCTGATAATAACTAATATATTTTACAGTGATTATGTGTGAGTGAGGTGAAAGTGTTGAGTGATATTGAAAGTATTTTCTTTTTGGGTCACCCTGCCTCGGTGGGAGACGGCCGACTTGTTGAAAAAAAAAATAACTAATAGTGATACCAACACGGTTATATGGGTATGAAATGTGGGTTTTAAATGTTGGAGCGAGAGCATAATTCCGTAAGTGTTTCCATCAAATTTCGTACTTGTATATTTGTATACTTGCATATTTGCCAGTTCTTTTGAGAAATTACCAAGACCTTGGTCTCGAGCATACCAGTTTTTTAGTGTCTGTTGTACTAAAGTTATATAAATATCTTGTATAAAATGTATAAGGTACTGTAGCATGGGAAGGATAGTTGTACAGTGGACCCCCGCATAACGATACCTCCGAATGCGACCAATTATGTAAGTGTATTTATGTAAGTGCGTTTGCACGTGTATGTTTGGGGGTCTGAAATGGACTAATCTACTTCACAATATTCCTTATGTGAACAAATTCGGTCAGTACTGGCACCTGAACATACTTCTGGAGTGAAAAATATCGTTAACCAGGGGTCCACTGTATAGGTGTTTAATGAGCAAATAGTTGGAGGAGTTTTTAAGAGAGTTCCAGGAACTGGATGTGTTGAGGCTTTACAAAAGCTATAGTACACTATATTGTAAAGCATATAAAAAAATGTATTAAAAATTTAGGAATAATCATTACTTATTGCATTTTTTATCTTTGCAGGATGGTGAGAAAATACAAGCTGAAGAAAACAGTGAAGCGTAATTACAAATTAGAGTTTGATAAGATTGAGAAGATGGTTGATTCACTGTTAGAATAAAGTTACTGCATCTGCTATTGGATATTTTCCATATTCAGATACCATTGAATAATCCACATTTATTTAGTTTTTTTTTTTTTTAATAATACTCCAAATTTAGGGACCTAAAAAAATTTTAGCTATTTTAAGATTGAGCTCCCTGGAAGGGACCTGAAAATGGGGCTGCATGAACATATTAAATTGTCAGAAAAGTGTTTCATAAAATTGGAATTTTAGAATGTAAAGAGGTAATGTAGAAGACAGGGTCAACTAAAATATCGTACCCCTCGAGCCAATTTATTTTTGGGTTTTTCACCTCTGTTTCCCCCCCCCCTTTCCCCTCCCCCCCCTTTTTCTAAGGACGAGTAACCAAAGGGGTAAAAGGGAGGAGGAATAGGGGAAACACCCATAAAGGGGTTAGAGGGAGAGCTAAAGGAACTTTTAAGGGTCAGTGACCTTTTTTTCGTATGAATTCAAATAAAAAAAAAAAAATATGGAAAATGAGTTTTCTTTACGGGGGGAAAAATAAAGAAAAATCTGCAACATTTGGGAAAAAAAAACCCCATTGAAATATTTTTTTCTACAGAAAATTATAGCTATTTGAACATTCTTGTGGGATGCGTCACATAAAATTGTAAACAAAGGTGAATTTTTTGATTTTTTTTTTAATTTTTTCCTCATTTTTTTTTTCAAACACTAAAATTTACCACTGAATTCATTACATGTGGGGGAGCTATAGCATAGTGGAGGGGGTAAATGGAGAGGCAGGGGAAAAAATTTGCTCCGCACTTCCCGGGCACGGCCACAAAATTCTTGTGCCAATGCATTATTAGTAAAAACTTAATCTGCCTATACCATTTATTCAAAATGATAGCAACAAAGTAAATACAGCCAAAATAATAATATTTGGGATAAGGGGGGGGGGGTGTTGGGGGCAGCCAGCGATCCCACCAAAACCTGACCATCATAGATAAATTTAAATTTTCCCCCTTTGGGACCTCTGGGCCCCTACTAGAGAAAAAGGTGTAAAATACAGGGAAAAAATTTTAAAAAAATACTTTCATTGATAGAAAAAGCCAAAAATAACACATTTTTTTTTTTTTTATTTTTACAAATCAGGTGTGTGCACGTTTCCCCAAAATCTCGGGAAATAAGATTTTTGGCCCATTTCTTATCGTACAAACCATTATTAATGATTTTATTGAAATGAATTTTTTACAGGGAAAAAAAACAAAATGGAATTAATGTTATGCAACATTTGGCATATCCAGATATTTTTTGGTTTTTTTTTGGGGGTTTAAAAAATAATATTTTTGGGGAATGTCAAAAGCGTCCAAAATTTTTTTTTTTCATCATGAAGATAAGGTATTTACATTATATTATGCCCAGAAATTCGGGGTTTGGCTTTTTTTATCATTCAGGGTTTTCCTAGATCACTTGCGGTGCCATATGTCCATCATGCTGCCAAACTCACACTCAATAAAAATTTTTTTTTTTCATTTGTTTCTTGATATCTTATTAAACTTTTCACAGTTCATTAAAAATATTTTCTAAAGTACCTAAAAAGAAAAAAAATTGGAAAGATTTTTTTTTTTTTTTTTTTTTGGGGGGGGAGAACCATACCCTTAATCCCTTTGCTGTCTCCACATAGACTACCTATTTAACAGTGTCATTCTCAAAATATGCGTAGGGGAAATTGGGCCTGGACGTTGTGTGTAAATTTGTTTGTGGGGTGTGTGTGTGTGTGTGTTGTGTGTGTGTGTGTGTGTTTGTGTGGGGTTGTGTGTGTGGTGGGGGGGGAAGTGAGGGATCAACCCTTTTTTTTTTTTTTTTTTAATTACGACTTCGTGCACTTTACTGCATATTTTTTGACAGTTTTTTCGGGGGAAATTTCTTGTTTTATAGATGAAGGGAAAGGGATGTTTGCAAAAAAAGCTAAGAATTGGAAGTTGACAATTAATAGGCTTAAAAAGGATTCAAGTGGGCGAAATTTCCCCTTGTTAAATTTGCCGTGGACCTCAGACCCCCATAATTCCCCTCAAATTTGAATTTTTTGTTGGAACCCCCAGAAAAGTTTCTCTGGGATTTCAGAAGATAATTTTTTTTTTGTAAAGTAAAAGGACACAAGTGCAACTAATGTGGCATTTATTGTGGCAACGTTTCGCTCTCCAGGAGCTTTATCAAGCCATTACGTAATGGCTTGATAAAGCTCCTGGAGAGCGAAACGTTGCCACAATAAATGTCACATTAGTTGCACTTGTGTCCTTTTACTTTACATATTGTCGGTAATTCTACCAACTTTATTACAATTTTTTTTTTAATTGTGACACTCCGCACTCTTAAATTAAGGGGTTGTGACTTGAACATGCAGCAGGCTTGTGTAAGCATGTTAGTTGGAAGTGAATGGACAAGTGATTTTTATGACATTGTGCTGTTGAAGTGTGAGCAAGGTGAGTAGGTGATTAACATTCATGATGGGATTCAGGGAAACTGGTTAACTGGGCTTGAGTCCTGGTGGTGGGATGTACAGTGATTGCACTCAGAAGGTGATGTGAGGATGTTGCTGCTTGGAGAGTCATCTGAACTATGATGTTAGCACACTTTGAGCATAACAGCACTTGAGTGAGGGGCAGTGTTTTTTTTTTTTTTTGAGGGGTGGAGGGACCCATGGTAGATGGTTGCTTTGTTTAACCCCTTGACTGTCGCAGCCCCCAATCCTGAGGTGTCTCCTGGTGTCGCAAAATTAAAAAAAAAAAAAAAATATTTTTTCTTATGAAATGATAGAGAATCTTTTTCCGATTGTAATGACACCAAAAAACGAAATTTGATGGAAAACTGACAGAATTACGCTCTCGCAAAGTTAGCGACCTTGGCGATATTTACAAATTGGCGATTTTGCCCACTTTGAGCCCTATTTTCGGCTAATTCCATTGTTCCAGTCGACCAAACTCATAGCTATTTCTTTAGAACTCCATTTTTTCTATCAACTGAGTACAAGAAACTGCCCATTTACCAATCTTAACTACCCAATAACGTGGTCAGAAATTTGCAATTTGGCCAATTTCACGAAAATTAAAAAATATGACAATTTCAAAATAAGGTCCAGAATGATCAATGCAAACATTCCTGGCTCTAAAATAACATTTTCTTTGTTCATCAGTCATGTCTCCAGGCCCCTCTGATATTACTCTTGCTTTCTATTTCGAATTTTTATTCAAACAAAAAATAGAAGATTTACTATTATGCAGACTACTCCAATACTGTAATAATTGTATAAATAACATCAACCCATTCATGACTGCATATTAGAATGGCTAGTTGGACATTTATTGGACAATGATGTCATTTGTTTACTTTTGAACATCAGCAAAAATCAAACATTTCCCCTACTTTGAGCTCCATTTCCAGGTTCTTTTTATAGTAAAATCAATCAAAATCATCTCTTTTTCTATAATATGTTTTCCATTCTATCAATTGAGACCAAGAAAACAAGAATACAACCATAAATACTATATGAAAATAGACCACAAAGTCTGCATTTTAATTAAAAAAAACGGTCGGAGTTTTTTTTTTTCTCATTATGCACTGCGTGCTCCAGGATTTTTTTTATGTGGTGCACACTGACCACACAGACCCATTCTCTCATATGTGGGCCTACCATCTTTCTCCTCCTTGATTTGAAGCCGCTAGAATTTATGAGTAGATATACGTCAAACACGGTACCTCGTAAGACGTATATATACGGCCGTGACAGTCAAAGGGTTGAATTTGTTATGTAATTTTGTTGTTTATTTCATCAAATTTATTTTATTAAAACTTTAAAATAAAAACGTGTACAGTGGAACCCCGAGTTTGGGCCATAATCTGTTTCAAGAGCTAGGCCTAAACTTGAAATGGCAGAAAGTTGAATCAATATTTCCCATAAGAAATAATGTAAATACAATTAATCTGTTCCAGACCCACAAAAATATTCACAAAAAATACATTTTTTAAAGAAAAACTATAGTTTAACATACATCTTTCTTTCAACACACCTGCCGTATCCCACCGAGGCGGGGTGGCCCAAAAAGAAAAACAAAAGTTTCTCTTTTTAAATTTAGTAATTTATACGGGAGAAGGGGTTGCCTCTTACAACACGCATGGCTTATGGAGGAAGAATTCTTTTCCACTTCCCCATGGAGATAAGAGAAAATAAACAAGAACTAGAAAGAAAATAGAAGAAAACCCAGAGGGGTGTGTATATATATGCTTGTATGTGTAGCGTGACCTAAGTGTAAGTAGAAGTAGCAAGACACCTGAAATCTTGCATGTTTATGAGACAGACAAAAGACACTAGCAATCCTACCATCACGTAAAACAATTACAGGCTTTCACTTTACACTCACTTGGCAGGACGGTAGTACCTCCCTGGGTGGTTGTTGTCTACAAACCTACTACCTAGGTTTAACATACATATAGTACTTAAAACATATACATGTATATAGTACTTAAATGAGTAGTACAATACATAAATAAACATTTAAAATCACATTTATGTACCTTTATTGAAGAGTCTTACTGGCATCTGGAAGATGCCAGTAAGACTTTAGGTAACAAGTCCTTATTTGTGGTTACTTCCCTTCTTTGTCTTTAATGCCACTAGGACCAGCGTGAGAGTCACTGGACCCCTGTAGCACAAAATAACTCTCAAGAGTGCTCTGTTTCTGGCATCTCTAAGATTTCCCTAAAATGGGACAAGGTTTTGCCACTGAACATGTAGATATGGCTTGTTTTAGCTTGGTCAGGGTGATACTTTTCAACAAAACTTTGCAACTCATTCCACTTTGCACACATGTCCTTAATCACTGAAGAAGGCACCTCCTTCACTTCCTCTTCCTCCTCTGAAGCAAGTTCCTCAGCTGTGGTCTGATGCTGTTTCAGTTGAAGCTCTTGCAGTTCGTCAGTGGTTAGCTCTTCCCTGTGGGCCTCCACTAACTCTTCCACATCCTCGCCATTCACCTCCAACCCCATGGACTTGCCCAATGCCACAATACCTTCCACAATAGGCAGAGGGTTGGCAGGATCAGGGTCAGCCTCAAACCCTTCAAAATC